AAAGAAAAGAAATGAAAATTGAGTGTAATATGTTGAGTATACATTTCTGATAATTTCTTATTGAAATTCGAATATGTAACAAAATTAGTTGAAATTTGATCATGTGAAAAACTCTGTTACAATGCTATAAGATTGTAAAGCTTATTAGGTCAAACAACAAGCCCAACTCTTTTTGGGCCCGATACTGGACTTACTGTAATCCATTTTTCTAGGCTGTATCTCTCTGCACATTTTTTTATCTTCGTATTTAAAATAAATCCTATTTTACGTTTAAATCAAAACATATTTACATTTTTTAAATATATTTTCAGATTAAGTATTTCAGAATATATTCTGGTTTGATGGTCCTAAAAATATATTTTGAAACAATTAATCTAAAAATATGTTGGGAACATCCAATTCAAAATATATTTCCAAACTCTTCTAAAAATGTATTTTATATTGAATTTTATGAAATTCACTTTTAAATTCAAAGATAAGTTGAGTTTAGATCATATACTCATGTTTAGTACAATTTTCAGGTAATAAGTATAAAATATTAATAATTTTTCACTTTATAGGTTGAAATCAATATTCAATGTAAGTGAAATCACAACAAATCAAAATTACAAGAACTATGAAGGTCCATAAGTGATTAGAAAGTATCGAGGATGAAAAATTTCAAAAAAAAATTAGCATAGGTCATTTTACATGAGTTACAAAGGTGGAGGAAGAAACTATGATACAAAAGACAAGTATTTTCAAATGTGCATCAAATATAAAAAAATGAAATATTTTCAAATTATTTAATAATAATACAAATATAAATTAGAAAATAAAGATATTTTATAAAATTTAATTTAAATTTAAAAATTGGTTTTTATTTTATCAACGATTATTTATAAAATTATATTATATTTAATATTGATAGTTGAGATTTAAGAATTACTAAAATAATTGAGAAAACTAAAAATCTTATTTGATTGGAAATTTAATCAAAGAATTGTTGTATCTTGTTTAATATACCTCTAAACAATTCACAGTAAAAGGAAGAAGACATAAATCAGTACTTTGTTTTTATCTGTTATTCAACAATATTTACATTCTCTTTTCTTCAACTTTACATATTCTTATCACAATTCTGGATTTAGTGCAGTGTAATGAAGATGAAGTGCGTGCTTGCGTATAAAGGAAAATAGCATAAGTTTACCAAATCACTAGTTTCTTGCATATTATATAAATTTTCAATGATCAGCATGTTGGAAATTTAGTTAGGTCATCAATTAGGTACTACTTAGATTGGACCATAGAACCATGTTTAGGCCACAAAGGACAGGTGTAGCAGTTCTGTAATTTTTTAAAGTTCAGCTCATGAATGTTCTATAAGGATGTCACTGAGTATTAAATATACTTCCTCAAATACTATTGAAAACTATTGGAAAAAGTATCCACTAGTTGAGTCATATATCTTTATACAATAATATGTTTCCGTTTACTCAACCAATAACTCAGGGTATTTGTTAGCTTACCAATTTTCTAAGGCTGTAAACAACAAAATGAGGATACATTGTGCTTGTCTTATCCACTGATTCACTCCTTTCACTCTCTCTATCTCTATCTTAGTGACTCTACTTCTCATCAAGTTGATGTGTAGTTTTCTGACTCTTAAAGTTGATTTGTTTGATGAATCATTTTCAGTCCAACGAGGATCATGCAGAACTTCTTCTTGCATCTTCCTCTGCCAATTCTAGTGCTTGAATCAGACTTTTCAAGTAAATTTCTGCATCCACAGAAGCATTTTTGGGCATCAAATGTTCAGCAACCTCAGCTGGAGTGATTTTGGTTTCCTTGAGCAGTTCACATATTGTGCCAAACAAATGGTGAGACTCAATGTTAAGATAATTCTTAGCCAACAACTTGAATGCCTCAAATCCACAATATGACAACTCTATGTGCTTGTCCATCCTCCCTTTCCTAACCAATGCAGGGTCCAATTTCTCCACATAGTTTGTGGTGAAAACTATTAGTCTCTCCCCCCCACATGCAGACCATAACCCATCAATGAAATTCAGAAGACCAGAAAGTGTTACCTGGCTACTTTTAGCATCTCTTTCTTGCATTCCTTGTTGATTTTTCCCTGGATTCTTCTCCTCCTCTGCCTTTTCCTTTTTCTTCCTCCTTTGGCCAGTCAAATCAAGTGAACAATCTATATCCTCAATCACAATTATAGACTTGCTTGATGTCTCAATCAGCAGCTTCCTCAATTCTGTGTTGTCCTTGACAGCAGTCAACTCAAGATCATACAAATCATATCCTAAAAAATTTGCCATAGCAGCAATCATTGTGGACTTGCCTGTTCCTGGCGGTCCATAAAGTAGGTACCCTCTCTTCCATGCCCTCCCAATCCTTGCATAGAACTCCCCTGCCTTGCTGAATGTGATGAGATCATCAATGATCATTTCCTTCTCCTCAGGATTCATAGCTAGTGTTTGAAATGTTGCAGGGTGCTCAAACACCACATGGCTCCAATAAGAACCACTATTGGTATAAAGCTTCCTTTGCCTGTTTTTCACCTTAATGGCCTTACCCTCTTTCAGAACATAGTTAAGATATGTCCCTACGATCGCATCTCTATTTCTCGTATGAAAAGTAAGCTTGTAGTACCTTCTCTCATCTGACATAGGGTGGTGGAAGGAAATTGTTGACTGTGCCTTGGAAATATGCTTGCCAGATGCCCACCAAAGCTTGACACCATTGAACTCATCAGCTACTTCTTCATGATCATCCATGCTGAGCACAAGAGACTGGTTGTTCTTCCCTATGTCAGCTTTGAGCCTCTTTGCCTGTGTTGATGCCTTGGAGCTGAGGTAGTTCTCTATGGCAGAATAGGCCTCACTGCGCATGAGTCTCTCACCTGTGAACTCATGGAATGTGATCTGAATGTAAGGGTACACATAAGTCACCAATCTTTGGGAGCGTTTCTCAATTTGGTTGATAAGTTGGTAGGGGAAAAATTGCTTAAACATGGCCCATACAAACATCAAGGAACCAACTATGGATCCTATCTGAGCAAACATATCACCTGGATTCATCCTCTTTCCACCTCTTACTCTCTCTCTTGCCCACAAATTTTTGCTTCAGACATTGTCTTATATAGAAGATTCAAGATATGTGTGACAAAATATCCATCTCATATCTCATAATATCTTTGAATATACTTTTAAGTAAAAATAGACCATATTCTTAATAAAATAGCTTTACATCGTGGCTAAATCCTAAATCATAATATATTAAATTTTATCAATAATATTAAACACCAATTTTACATATCAGGAAAAGTTTTCTTTCACTACATCTTGTCATGAATAATTTATCAGAGCACTTCCACTATATCTAAGCTAGATTATTATATAATCCCAACATAGTCTTTAGTTTATTTCTATATTTAATCAGATTTGAAAAAAATGTTTGGTGTTGTATGACGTGTGTTGATGCATGCTAAATTGTCAGAACAACACCGACCAGATTCCTTACTCAATCAGATAAGCAGACATAACAGAAGAGAAAAACAAAAAGATTTGGTTAGGTATCCTAATTTTTTGACTTTCCTATGCTTACACAGTTTCCACTTTGATTGGTTCTCATAAAGGTTGAAAGGTAACTGGATAAGATTGAATCAGACTTTGCTTTTTCAAGAAAAATGCATTCAGCTTCTTTTATGTTCTGTTTAGGGAGGGCACAGAGCAGCAAAACAGAATGAAAATACGTGTTCTTTTTCTTGGTTCAGTCTCTTTAATAGAACCAACATGCAAGAGGTGCATGATACTTTGGTTCAAAACACTATCTTACAATATTACAGCTTGATAATCAACTATTAAATTTATGAGTTTATTAAAAAATTTTGAAGTAATTATTGAAAATATTTACTAGCTTATACGTCTATTAACAATTAAAAATAAATGTAATTTATGTATTTCACCGTATCTTAATTTATTAATATATTTTAAAAATAAATTCGAGATAAAATTATCAGATTCTAATACTTCAAATATGGTAATAAAGGCATAATTGAAGTAGGATTTAATTAAGACAATTTCCATTATTGGATTTTACACAAATATTTTCTATTGATTTGATCTCTAATTGACTGATTTCTCGAAAAATTAAATCTATGTAATTTAAAACCTAAATCTCTCTTATATACCATCAAATCCTTTCTAGTTTTGAATCACTGTTATACCCACACTATAGATACCCTGCATAAACATGCTTATAAAATACTAAAAACTATAATTTAAATAAAAATATTTAAATGATATAACAGGCAACTCACACTAAATAATAAAGTAATTCTAAATAAAATAATGTTAAATAACAAACTAAAATGTAACACATCACTAACTAATAGAAACTAATTATTCAATAATAACATAAAAATGTCAGTTCTGCAGTAACCGGTAAGGAATGATGAAAACTAATCATTCAAGAAATGCAGTTGAATTTTTCAGTTATCGTGAACATGGTCGAAGATTAAAGAAAAAGATGAGAGTTAGAAGAATGAAACAGATAAGTTTGGATGACCTTTCTCTTGTTCCTGTAGTTGTCAAAGAATGATGATTGTTTGTTGATTTGATTGGGAAGTTTTTATATCAGAAGAAACGCTATTCTTCCATTTAGTAACATCTTTGAAGTTCAGTTTTTTCCTGTTTTTAGTTTCCAATCCTTTAAAACATAACCCTGAGAAGAACAAAGCATTATGCTATACACAAAGTGGCCCAAGCTGAAATGAAATGAGTTCAATCTGCTACTAAGATATATTGGAAAAACCAGAAAACAAGGAAAACATAAATTGAAACACAAGAAGGTGAATTGATTCTTATTCAGCTAAGAAGCTACATGGGAAAAATTGGGATATTCCACATGACCAAATCCTGGTAGTGGTAGTATACTGCAGTAATTACCAGCTTATAGCAAATCTAACTAGTTAGATTGTTATTCCCAAAACGAACTTCCATTGCCCCTCAATGAAAACCATTTTCCTTCACATTCTCCTTGGTTTTTTCTTTGTTTATTTCCTCCATCTGAGTAGATTCTTCCTTCTGTTTCTCCTCCAACTTCTTTTCTGCTTCTTCTTCAGCCTTTTTCCTTGCTTTTTCCTCCTTGTCAACCTCAAGAGCCTTAATCAATTTCTCCAAGCATGTCTCCACATCTTCATCCACAGACTTTGGCATTAGATTCTCAGCAACATCAGCAGGTGACATTTCTGTCTCTTCCAACAATCTCCCAATTCTACTAAACAATAGGTGAGACTCAATATCCAAGTAGTTCTTGGCTAGCACCTTGAATGCATCATAGCAACAATAGGACATCTCAATGTGCTTATCCATCCTCCCTCTCCTAATGAGAGCAGGGTCAAGTTTCTCCACATAATTTGTGGTGAAAATGATGATCCTCTCACCTCCACAAGCTGACCAAATCCCATCTATAAAATTCAACAACCCAGATAGAGTTACCTTGCTGCTCTTGCTACTCTCCTCTTCATTCCTCTTCATAGGATCTTTTGGTTCTTCATTCTCATCCTCTTCCTTCTTCTTCCTCTGTCCAGTAAGATCAAGTGAACAATCAATGTCCTCAATCACTGTAATAGACTTACTTGGAGTTTCAATCAACAACTTTCTCAACTCAGTGTTGTCCTTGACTGCTGTCAACTCAAGATCATACACATCATAGTTCATGAAATTAGCAATAGCAGCTATCATGGTAGACTTCCCAGTCCCTGGAGGACCATACAAAAGATAACCTCTTTTCCAAGCCTTGCCTATCTTTGCATAATAATCCTTTCCCTTCTTAAACTTAACAAGGTCTTTTAGGATATCTTCCTTCCTTTTCTGATCCATGGCTAGTGTTTCAAAAGTGGCAGGGTGCTCAAACACTATGTGGCTCCACTTTGACCGCTTGTAACCATACCAACCACTGCTAGGATTGTTGGTGTAAAGCTTCAGCTGCCTGTTTCTCATCTCAATTTCCTTCCCCTCCTCCAACACATGCTTTATGTAAGACATGGTGATGATGTCACGGTAGCTTTTATGGAAAGTAAGTTTGTAGTACCTTTTCTCATCAGAGGAACCATAGTAAGAGAAAGGGTTGTATCTCTGTGGATTGGTGCTTATTTTACTAGCACTCCACCACACTTTGACACCTTGGAACTCATCAGTGATCTCTTCATTGTCATCCATGCTGAGGACTAGCGGGTGTTGGCTATCCTTCACCACTTCAGCTTTGAGTCTTTTGGCTCTTTGAGATGAGTTTGCACTGAGGTAGGTTTGGATGGCAGTGTATGCTTCACTCTTCTTGAGTCTTTCCCCTGAGAACTCAGGAAAGGTTATCTGGATGTAAGGGTTAAAGTGGTTGGTCATTTTTTGAGTATAGGCTTGAAGACGATCACGAAAGTGAGGAGGGAAGAATCGCTCAAACATGGTGTACATGAACACCATAGTTGCCATTAGTGATCCCATTTGAGCCCATAGCTCCCCCATCATCTCTCTGATTTTGATCTTGATCTTGTGTGGTGCTCTCTTACGTTTTCTCTGATCATACACAACTTGTATGTGTATATAAACACGTGTGTTCTTTCTTGCCAAGTTCCTCCAAGGAAAAGTCAAGTTTCACACGAGTGCCCTTTCTTACCAAGTTCCTTGAAGGGAAAGAAAAAGAAAAAGAAAAAAGAAAACGTTATTACAACTTAATTCCCTTGTATAAACATTATTATAAGTTTAGATATATCCTAGCATTGAACCTAATGTGTGGCTTGAGGGTTGATTCTGTGGAGAAAACGCGTCCAAAAAGTCATGTTTGGTGAAGAATTGGATTGAGGGATAGCATTGGCATTTCTTAGGCAAGAAGTATAGAAGGTGGAAAGTGTCAAAGCCGCTTTAATTTGAGACATTGCATTCGAAATTTCTCCAAATTTCTCACATGCGACGATAGCAGCCTTAGCCTGCCTGCTTCAAATTTCTTACATCGTACACGCGTCCCAAGGTAACAACCACTCTCTCCCCACTCATATTTTCACGTGCCATTTTACCTCCGGCCACAATAAAGAAATGGGCTTCTGTTTTATTATTGTATAAATTTTATTTTAAAAATTTAATATCTAATTCATAAAAAAATAATATTTTTATTTATAATTTTTTTAATTTAATTTAACACATAAATATTTATTTAAAACACGTTAATCTTGAAAGACTGGATAAATAAAACAGAATAGGTAGATGAATTAAAATTATCAATTCAGCTCATATTTTTAAAGCAGTTAACCATTAAATTTAATCTGTTTTATCATTTTAATCGAAATACTTTTACTAAACTAATTTTAATTTATAAAAAGCTTAATTTTTCATTTAAATATATATTGTGATATATATATATATATATATATATATATATATGAAAAGATTGAAAAAAACTTTATGACTAAGACGGATAAAAATAAAAAATGTATATGAAAACCAAACAGATAATTATGAATAATGTATTGGATTAAAACGTAGAAATGGTTCAGGTATAAAACAAATGAGTAATTAAATCTACATTTTATTCTTTGAACTTTGTAGCATTTGAAGTTGTTATTTCCAACAATTAGTTTACTGCACTACTGACTAGTGCATGTTCATGTCAATATTTGGAATTGTACGGACTAAAAATATTAATTTAAACGAAATTTGATACACTAAAAATATATTTATACCAAATTCTAAATATTAATATATGAAAGTACAATTTGTCAATCATATTTATGGAAAATTTAAAAAATGTGTAAGTAATTACGTTTATAATCCAAATTACAGTAAATAATTATGTTTAAGAATTTTAATGAAACAAATGAAAATTTCAAAGACTGGTCTTTCTCTTTCTTTCTTTTTTAGTTTTACGTAAGTGATAATGTTAAACACCTTTTAAGATAAACATGGTCATTTTCTTTGCTTTATTTTTTCCAACTTGTAATAATATATAACGAAGAATACACGTCATTTGAAGGAAAAAAATTAACATTATGCATCATGCATGATGCATGATTTGCAGCAATTAACTATATGTTATGGCTGTATTTTCTAGACTCTGTAATGAAGTTTGATATGAAGAACAAAAATGTCATTTTCTACCACAAATTAAAATCTATCATTGTATGTTTAAAGAATTGGTTGATAATTTGAAAGTTCTTTTTCTATTTTACTTATTTTAAAGATCAATTTAATTGCTTATTATGATTTTATAAACTAAACTCATACATGATATAAATGTCAGAAACTATTTTATCACCATAAGTTTAAGAAACAATTTAACATTATTATACTTTCAATGACTGCTGAATTCATTATTCTCTAGATTAAATTTTTCTTTTTGTCTTTAACTTGCACACCTACATTCCTTACGATGATTTTTCAGATGATAAACATCGAATCTAACGATCACATCATGCAAGATCAAGGAAAAAGATAAGCAATAACTTGGATGTAAGCACATCAATAATTGATATCCTAAAGTTGGGTGAAAACCAGTATTTCACACAGATTTTGAATTTTCTGCCCAGAAAGAAATGTTCAAACATAAGAACAATTATAAATATTGAAATTCTGCATAGAATATGAGTCAATATTATTCTAAATGAGAAACGATCAATGGTAGAGAGAAAAAGTTACTAATTGATGACACCATTTTCTTCCATCACTACTTCACCATGTTTAATATCTTTACTCTGTTGCAAATTGGATTTCTTGATTTCTGTCATCTCAAGAAATTGAATCAAGCTATGCAAGGAAGTATCCACTTCTTCATCCTCTGATTTTGGCATCAGAGTCTCAGCAACATCAGCAGGAGTGATTTTGGTCTCTTCCAACAACTTCTCAATTCTAGGAAACAAATGGTGAGACTCAACATCCAAGTAGTTCTTAGCAAGCACCTTGAATGCCTCATAGCAACAATATGACAGTTTTATGTGCTTATCCATCCTCCCTCTCCTTATCAAAGCAGGGTCAAGTTTCTCCACAAAATTAGTTGTGAAAACCATGATCCTCTCCCCCCCACAAGCTGACCAAATCCCATCTATAACATTCAATAGTCCAGAAAGTGTTACCTTACTTCCCTTGTCCTCATCATCTTCATCACCCCTTTTGAGAGAAGCACTTTTTCCTTCTTTACCCTCAACTCTTTCCTTTTTCTTCTTCCTTTGACCGGTGAGATCAAGAGAGCAATCAATGTCTTCAATCACTATAATCGACTTGCTTGACGTGTTAATTAACAGCTTTCTCAAATCAGAATTGTCCACCACTGCTGTCAACTCAAGATCATACACATCATAGTTCATGAAATTAGCCATTGCAGCTATCATGGTAGATTTCCCAGTACCTGGAGGACCATATAATAAGTACCCTCTTTTCCAAGCCTTACCAATCTTGGTATAATAACTCTTCCCACTTTTGAACTTCACAAGGTCATTGATGATACCCTCCTTCTCCTTAGGCCTCATTGCAAGTGTCTCAAAAGTTGCTGGATGCTCAAAAACCACATGGCTCCACCTTGTCTTACTGTTGGTGTAAAGCTTCAGTTGTCTATTCTTCATCTCAATGGCCTTTGCTTCTTCCAAAACATGTTTGAGGTAACACTCGGTGATGAGGCTTCTATAGCGTTTGTGAAAGGTGAGTTTGTAGTACCTTTTTTCATCTGAAGAAGGGTACACAGAAAAGGACTGAGTTTTGGGGGTGATTTTGTAAGAACCCCACCACAACTTCACTCCTTGGAACTCTTCTATGATCTCTTCGTTATCATCCATGCTAAGGACTAAAGGGGTGTGTGTGTCTTTGACTTTGATCACTTCTGCTTTGAGCCTTGTGGCACTCTGGGAAGAGTGTTCACTGAGGTAGGTTTGGATGGCTGTGTAGGCCTCACTTTTCATGAGGCGTTCACCTGTGAATTCATGGAAGGTGATTCTGATGTAAGGGTAAACCAAGGAGGTGAATTTGTTGGTGTACCTTCTAACACGAGCTTGAAGAGTTGGGGGAACCAAGCGCATGAACATGGCATATATGAACATGGCTGTGGCCATGAGTGACCCTGCTTGTGTCCATATTTGATACATGTTATTCGACTTCATCTCACACAACAATCTTGTGACTAGACTCTGTGTGCAAGGGCTTGATTTGCCATGCTAGGAAGCACTTCTGTTGTATTTATAGACTTATGCAGAGGACACAGTAAGTCAAGAAGATTACTGATATCAAACAGAATTTATCATGAAATGTAAATATTTGCTAATATAACAAGTTCATAAATAGTAGATGATATTGTTTTAAAAACTTGGTTTATTCAAGTTACTTTCAAAAGCTAGTTGAATTATAATTTGGATTGGTTAAGATGTATTTTCTGACTCTTACAAGTTTCATTGATAATGAGAATTGATTCAAATCCTAATTATTATCAACAGAAGACTTATTATATAGGTAGTTTTAAGTTTAAAGAAAAGTGAGATAGTTATTATTATTATTATTATTATTATTTACCTATTTTTATTATTATCAATTTACTTTTTTTAATACATTTTTAAATTTTTGTTATAATTTAAGAAAATAAAAATATAATTTTAAAAATATATTTGATTTTTAAAAAACATTATTTTTAAATATATGAAAAAATTATATATAAAAATATATAAAATATTATTTTTTTAAAATAGCATATTTATATAAATATATATAATCAATCTTATTAAATATAAAAAAAATTATAATTTTAAAAGGGTGTTATGGTAGTTCAGAATTGTAAAGGAAATAAAAAAATAGACCGTATTCTACAGGGTGAAGATGACATGAATCCAACTCCTGCAACTTCAGATACTCCAATAATAATGCTTGAAGAATCCTCTGACGAATCAGAAATTGAGGTCCATGCTTTTGAGGAATCTGAAACTGAAGTCCTTACTACCGAATCAAAAACAGAAGTCCCCAGCTACGAACATCTGACTCAGATACTAATATGAGAATTTTATAATAAGAAAAATGTCAATGTTTGGAAATCATAGTTTTTAATATATATAATCTGTAAAGTGGATTGTAATTTATTGTGACAATAAAAAGTTATATCAAATAAAGGCACCAAACTCATAAAAAATCATCAACATAAATAATAAAAAAACAATACACTAACAAATCTGTCCTTTTTTATATTTTGAAGAGAATAAATAATGTTAGACATTGTGGGTTGATTAGAAATTATAAAAGCATGGTTCTGTAGAAGTTTTTTTGTAATTCACTGTTCCACGCACGATGCTTGAGAAGTCAAGTTGTTCATCGTCAGTGCTTGTCCAAACCAATGACGTTGCATGCACGCTGTGCTTATAAATTGGCTTTGTGATGTTACTTAATCCAGGAATATAGTTTGTTTAGCGAGAGCAGGTATCAGTATCTTTCAATCTTCTTCACGGCAACAAATTTTCTAAATATTAAAATTATTGACGGTGCCAAAGATTTTCAAACCAACGGAGAACTGAATTAGGATTACTTGGAACTATCTATCACAACAATTCTCATCATCAACTGCATAAATTAACATATCTTAAGCATTTGAGTATCCTTTAATTCAATTTATTGCTTCAGAAAACTAAGGAAAAGTCGTGTTAATTTCACTAACAACATGATTGATCATAATCTATGTTAATGGACTGTGCCATTTTCCTTCACCTCTTCTGCAGATTTTCCAGTAGCTTCAAGCTTTTCATTCTCTTCCTTCAACCTTGCCTCCTCCATGGCCTTTTTCTCTGCTTCCTCTTCTGCCTTCTTTTTGGCCTCCTCAAGAGACTCTATCAGACTCTGCAAGCAAATTTCAGAATCATTCACAACTGTCTTAGGCATTAGATTCTCAGCTACATCAGCAGGTGACATATTGGTCTCTCCCAGCAACCTGCCAATGGTAGGAAACAAACTGTGAGACTCAACCTCCAAGTAGTTCTTTGCCAGCACCTTGAATGCTTCATAACCACAATATGACATTTCTATGTGCTTGTCCATCCTTCCCCTCCTTATGAGAGCAGGATCAAGTTTCTCCACAAAGTTTGTTGTAAAGATTATGATCCTCTCTCCACCACATGCTGACCAAATTCCATCGATGAAATTCAACAGCCCTGAGAGAGTCACCTTGCTTGCCTTCTTATCTTCTTCTTCTGCTTTCTTGGAAGGATTCTTTGGTTTCTCCTCATCCTCATCTTTCTCCTTCTCCTTCTCCTTCTTCCTTTGGCCAGTGAGATCAAGGGAGCAATCAATGTCCTCAATCACTATAATGGACTTGCTTGATGTTTCAATCAACAGCTTCCTTAACTCAGTGTTTTCCTTCACTGCTGTGAGTTCAAGATCATACACATCATAGTTCATGAAATTAGCCATAGCAGCTATCATGCTTGACTTCCCAGTTCCTGGGGGACCATAGAGTAAGTACCCTCTCTTCCAAGCCTTTCCAACTTTAGCATAATACTCTTTTCCTGTCTTGAACCTAACAAGGTCGTTGACAATCTCTTCCTTCTTCTTTGGATCCATTGCAAGAGTCTCAAACCTTGAAGGGTGCTCAAAGTTAACATGACTCCACTTGCTGCGTTTGTAGCCATACCAATCATTGCTGGGGTTGTTGGTGTACAACTTCAGTGTTCTATTCCGAACTGCAATAGCCCTTCCTTCTTTCAAAACATGTTGGATGTAAGAGCCAGTGATGAGGTCACGGTGGCGCTTGTGGAACGTTAGGGTTAAAAACCTCTTCTCTTCTGAAGTAGGGTAAAATGAGAATGACTGTGTTTTTGGGAGAGTGTAGTTTGCACTCCACCACAGTTTGACACCGTGGAACTCATCTGTGATCTCTTCATTGTCGTCCATAGAGAGGATGAGTGGGTTTTGACTATCCTGCACCACATCAGCTTTGAGCCTTTTGGCTCTCTGTGATGAGTTTGCACTGAGGTAGGTTCTTATGGCAGTGTATGCTTCACTTCTCTTCAACCGTTCTCCTGAGAACTCAGAGAAAGAGATTTGGATGTAAGGGTACATCAAGCCTGTGAATTTTTGTGTGTATTTTTTGACATAGATCCGAAGATGGCGTGGAAAGAATTGCTCATAGATGGCATACACAAACATGAAGCTAGCCATGAGTGAGCCTAGCTGAGACCACAGTTCTCCCATCACTCTCATCTTTTCAAGAGATTCTATTTTCTCTCTTCTGTGTTTAATCAATTCATGGAATGTGGTATTTATAATAAATGAAATGGGAGGGGTTTCGTAATATTATTATAATACTATATGTATTTTCATACAATAACGAATTTAAATTAAAAAAAATACTTACACTTTTTTTTTTTTTTTGTGAATCACAATTCCATGCGTGATGATATTATTGTGGAAGTACGCACTTTATATTTAATTTCTCGTCAGTTTCCTTTGTTGTCATTTTGTGGAGTTGATTTGATTGGCGTGTTGTGTCGGTAGCTGCCATTTTTTACCATCCAAGTTTTTTCGATTTCAGAATAAACAAAAATAGAAGAAAGATTCCTCATACTCTCATGTGTGTTGACTAAGAAGACTAAGAAAAACAAGTTGATAAATGAATGGTGCAGGAAAAGTCTAATAAAAATTATAATTTAATTTAGCAAAAGAGCAACCCATGTTTCTAATAGTCTTTAATTTAACCATCTTTGAATTAAAAATAGGTTTATATTAATCACAATAAATATGTATCTTTATATTAATCACAAAATGATTTTTAGGATTAATTTTTATAATTTTTAAAATGTTTTAAAAAATAATACTATCTTTTCAAGATTAATGTTTGTAGAATTTGTTAGGATAAAAAGATGTATTTGCGTTAAATCAATAAATCAAATATATATTCAAGTTTTTTTCAGTAACATTTTGCATAAAAACAAAATGAGAACTTAACAGAATATAAAACGTATTGGAGAATTCACGTTGAAGAGGAGAAGAAGTCCACATAGTCCCTTGATGACCATTAAATAGTTTGGTGAAACTATTTAGTCAGAATTATAGAATGTTTTCTTCTGATTCTTTTCCACATATATTAAAAGAAAAACATAATATTGAAGTGAATTTTATAATTCTAAATATATTTAATTAAAACATATTTTGAAAATATAACTGCAAAATCTATAATAAAGAGTGATTCGTATAATTATAATGTAAATTCTGATATATAATATTTCTTCTTCTTTTTCCTTTTTTTATAAAAAAAATGTAGACTTAACGAGTCAATGCAAAGTAACACGTGACGTCACAACGTATGCAAACCAAGGATGTTTCATGAATGCGGTGGTTATGAATTTGTCGAGATGTGATATATTTGAATACAACTTATCAATAACTAAAGAAAAATAATTTTATATTTGATATAATTATTATATTAAAATATTCGTTTGTCTAGTTTTAAAAATAAACTTTTCTTAATTTATTTATGGAGTGGCTTTGGTATTGTCACTTGCAATTTCATTGTTCGGTTTTTTAGTTTTAGAAAATAACATATAATTATAAATAGAAGTTTCTATTATATTTCTAAATTAAAATATAAATTTAATATATTTTTATTTTTTAAATAATATTTTAAAAATTTAAATATAAAAACTCTTCTTAATAATTTATCTAAATAAAAATTAATTAGCCATATGTTTTCAATACTTAATATTATTTTAATATCTTTTTATTTATTTGTGATTCTTATAATTTTTTATATAAAATCATATCTTTATTTAATTCTTCAACGGGTATTTATTCTTTTGTCAATTTCATCTTATTTTTCTCATCTTATTTATGATAATAACAATAAACTTTCAATGAACGAAGATAATTTTCATCTATATTGTCATTTTCCTTATAAAAATCAAGTCTCTTTACAAAATATATAATTACAATTTTTTTCTTTTATCTCATTCGAATCAACTTTTCTTTCAACATATTTAAAGTATAATTTTATTTTTTATATGAATTTAAATATTTTTAATTGTTTGTATGTTTAATCATATAAAATTTATATTTAAAAGATATTTTAAAAATTTTATTTAGCAATTAAATAATACTTAACAATTTTAATTAAAAATAAGACTTGCCATATCCCTGTCCCTTGTGTGCTGGATTTCCCTTTCCCGATTTTCTTTCAAAATTTTAAAAAGAAAGAAATATATTATATAAAATAACTTTAATAATATTATTTTTCATATATAAAATAAAAATATAACAAAATATTAAATATTAATCATATCTTAGTTTTAACTTTATATTTGAATCTAAATAATATTTAAAAAATTAAAATATATAAAAAAATAACTCTTTCATAAATAATTTAAATATCAAATAATATAAATCATAAACGTGTATTCTAAACAATTAGCAATGTAATTCTTATATGCTAACAGTGTGTACTTCATTAATAAACATAATAAAATTTTATTATACGTATAAATATTTTTATACGAATAAACATATTTAAGGCAACACAAAAGAATAATTTTTAAAATATATTTGAAGGAAAAAAATATATAAGCTACTCTCTAGCTATCCAACATTTTTTTTGCATAAAATCCTTACTAAAATTTTATGAATAATAACAATTATTCTTAAAAGTATATATATGATTTCTATATTTGATTAAAACAAAATATTTCCTTGAAGTATACAATGTCAAACAGCTAAAATTAAGTAATGATAGTAAATTAGAAACTTGGTCATCACTTGGTATTTTTAAGGTATCAATAACATGCAATAAGCAATACACAACTTTTATTGCAACATATATCAAACAGAATCAAATGCTAATTTGATTCTAGAACGACAGAGGTGTAAACACTTCCTACTCAGATTTGTGCTCACCAGCACCTCCCCATCCATAAGGACAAAATGTTATTACATACTCTGAGGATGCACAACTCACCAATGGGGTAGGTAAGTCAAAAGCATAGCTAAAATAATTAGGACAAACATCCTTAAATATCTTTGAGTACACACTTGGTTTGCACTTCCCTGGACTCCCATATGCATTCCTGCAACAAAACTTGTCATCATCAAAGGCCAAACAAGCACTTCTGCATGCCACAACTTCTCCCTTGGAATTCAGAACCTCTAGTTCAGTAGGGCACCAGCCTTTAAGATCCTTCAAGCACCCTTGAATGTTGCACTTGGGGTTTGTGATCTTGGGAGTTATAGACACAGGGATGTTGTATCCATCAACAAGGCTAACATCATAGTAATTTGTCTTTCCTCCTTGAAGTGAAACTTCAACTAGCGTGGCTGGGGGAGTGCCTATGAGTCCATTGCATGCTAGTCTTCCATCACAGTCCCCAGTTTCACAAGCTGGTTTCCAATTTGATCCAAAATTGCAACCTGTTCTTGCCCAAATTCTACCATTCCATGTCCATGGTGCTATCACAGGTTGAGTTTGACCTGGAGCAAGGTAGAATCCTCCATCTGCTATCACTGGTTGGCCACTGTTTGGTGCAGTTGCTGGCCATATTGGAAACGGGCACTTATTGTGCACATAGAATGTGACTTGATGTGCCTCTGCACTGTCTGCATACATAATTTTCATGATTTTCAATGAGTTCAATTTCTATGCAATCACCAACCATTCACAAACATAATATGAATAATTTGTTAAGTAATCGTTATAAATGTCAATAAACAACATGGCAATTTCTGATTAAATGATAACGTAAAATCTATTTGCATTCACTGATCATACACTATTTTCTCTTTACAGTAAGTTTATTTTGTATACATTGAGATAATTCAATCAATCAGAATTCAAAATAAGTTCCAAAAGTAAATATGTAAAAACAATAGAAACAACCCAATTCAACTATTAACAAATAAATTATATTAAGAAGAAACATAAGATAAATATTAAATTACCATAGTAAATGGAAGAGCATATCAGAAAGCAAAATAAAGCCGCAATATACTTTGGCAACTGCATTATTCTGAATCTCTGACCCCCAATTGGTAAATGAATGCTGGGAAGTTAAGACCAATATATATATATATATATATATATATATATATATATATATATATATATATATATATATATATATATATATATATATATATATATATATATATATATATATATATATATTGAGAGAAGATTGAAGATCTTCGATTGTACTCTAAGATTTGATGCGGATAATCTTTACATAAAAGGAAGGACAATGATGATGATGACCCTTCAACGTTCATTGTCTTTGGTTGACAGAGACCAAAATTGTTAATTAACAAGTGGACAGTGGAGTACGACTAATGAAAATGTTGGTTAAGAAATGATGTAATAATTATGTGACAATTGATTGTTTTCTTACGATATTTTAAAAAAAATACATTAGATTTACTCTAAAAATAGATAAATTATATGTATATTAACTAAATATATATTTTAAATAAAAATATTAGATTTAATTATCATGATAAAAAAATAATCATAACATTATTCTAGAATATTAAACTTCATCATAGATTCATATCATAAATGAAATAAAATTAAAAATAATTAATAACCAAATCTGACTTATGGATTTTTCTGGGATTTTTTAGTGGACACCTTTCTTGTGCCGATGGATGGGCCTTTGGGCTTTTGTTTTTATACCTATGCTAATTGATTTTAATGAAAATGTAACTATAATGAAAAAATCATAAATTTATATTTACAAGACGAAATAATTTTAATCAATAATAAAGAATCGCATATCAACAATGAATAAATTCTGAAAAAGTAATATCAACAATAAATAAATTATAAATAATTAATAAGTTAAATTCTCCTCGTAGCAGGATTATCATTAAATAATTATAAATTTCGGAGCAGCAAAATACTATAAATAAATATATTATATATTCTGTATAGTAACCTAAAAAGATAGCACAAGATTTCAATTTCAATTGGAAAATTACTAAAGAGATAAATTCTGCAAAAAGCAATAGAATTCAATAAATAAATTATAGGAAGTTAAGTTAACAAATAATTAATAAATTAAATTAGGTAGCGTATAATCAATAAATAAATAAATTATAAATTGAGCTGAGTAAAATAGATGTAAAACAAATTAGACTATTTGTAAAATTACAAACAATTAAATTATAAATAAATTCTAAATCATACTCAACAAAGAAAAAATTGATCAATAAATAAATTATAAAAAGATAATTAAATTCTGCGTTTAGTATAATTATAAATAAATATTCATAAATTAGGTATTGCTGAGCAGCAAATAATCAAGATAAAAAATGCTTAAATAAACAAATAAATAATAAATTAAGAAATAAATAATAAATTAAATGTTGATGAGTAGCAAATAATCAGTATAAAAAATACTTAAATAAACAAATAAATAAAAATTAAGAAATAAATAATAAATAAATTAATATTTAAAACTTTTCTGATAGTAGCAAATAATCAGTAGATAAATTATAGATTCTTCATAATTACAAAATTGTATTCTCGTTGAGAGGAAAACCTCCGAAATTCGACCTATGAACTGCAACAATGAAAATAAAAACCTAAAAAGATTAGCACAAATTTCAAATTCTATTGAAAATAGTTAAAAAAAAAATAAATTCCACAAAAATAATAGATAGCTCAATAAATAAATTATTAATTCTATTGAGATATACAATTGTCAATAAAAAAATATTAAAAAATGGCCAAAAATATTATTCATACCAATGTACTCTTCTCAATCCCAATAAATATAATGTTACAATTTGAAAAGAGTAAATAATAATTTTAAAATAAACTCCAGGAAAGAAAAAAAAAACACGCACACACACAAATTAAGTAATGATGCATAAAATAATGTGTGAATAAATTCATATCAAGAATTATGAATTTCTATCGGAAAATAGTAAATAAATAAAAAAAAAGTGTGTGATCAGTGTATATAGAAGTTTTCATTTAATCCTAAAATTTAAATAAATTAAAATATTAAAATGAATATTATTTTTATTTTTTTCAATAATTTAAATACATACAATAATTTCTCAAAGACCATTTTAACGGAGGAAAATCACGGAGCAAAAACCTTGGAAGTGATTAAGAAATTCAAGAAATGAATAAAAGAATGTAAGGCAATTCAAGAACAAATTTGAAGAACCCGAAGCAGAGATAGTAAAAAAAACAAAAATATTTGAATAAAATTGAAGAAAAAAGATTCAAGAAGACAAATTGGAGAAAAAATAATTCAAGAAGACAAACTGGATAACTTTATTGAACTATCGAAGATAGATTGAAGACAAAAATATTAGGCAGTAGTTTAAGAATGGAGATAATGTATGATTTAATCGAACCCATACAAAAAAACAACGAGAAGAAAATAAAGTGCAGAACCCAAAAAACAAAAAAAATTAAGAGGCAGAAAGTATACAAGAAGAAGAAGAGTAAGAAAAATTGAGAAAAGAAGAGAGAAGAACATGGTTGGAACGATCCGGGATATATCTTTCCTGTTGAAGAAATTCTATCGCTGCAGTGTGCCTTTATAGTTGGAGAGTGGAGTGTGTTGCAAGAAACCCTAAATCATTATAATTAAAATTATTTTAATATAATATCGTTTTCTCTATATATTCATTATGTTAATTTTTATTTGATACATAGAAGTAGTTAATATAATAATTATTTTTATAAAAATTATTATACTTGAAATTATAATAGAAATTGTTAGTGGCGA